TCCAGTATAGAGCAAATATTATCAGTTATGCTTATAAAAAGTCAGCATAAGCTCTCAAACGGGGGGAGGCATCACCAAACAAAACTGAAAGGCAACATAATTAAAAATTATAAATACTACTTAACACAAGTGTCCTGTGGAACTCATGGCCACAATGTACCAAAGCCATAAAGCTTAATATTGCAGGATCCAAAAAAGGATTAGTCACATGGATAAACTATACTATACACCTCCACAGTTGTACTAGAATAAAAAACATAGTGGGGTTACTAATTCACTTCTCTGGGGCTAAGACAACCTGTCTGGAAGCAGGGTTGGCAGCAGAGCCAGTCTATGGGCAACCTAACAAGCACAGCTGGCCTGTAGTATGCTGCCTGGTTAGTGGGAAGTCAATGGACCAGCTCTTAAGCTCAGCAACAGCAGCAATTCAGTGACGGTTCAAAGCATTTACGCATTGCTGTATAGCTCCTGCTCCCAACTTGTTCCAGCCCAGCTCCTGTCTTAGACCCTCACAATACACATTTCAAGACCTAGCGGTCCCACACGTGTCTATCACAACATGTGGTTTACTTCATCCAATGCATAAATGCCTCAACAACAAGTATGTGGCTGAAACAAGAGAGACCATCACTACGCTCTCGAACTCTCTCACAGGAAAATGATAAAAGACAAAAACACCGTATCACCTGTGGGTGAATACTTTTCATAAAGCAATTACGCTACATCTGTCCTCTGTCCTCATCCTCAAAGGAAACCTGCACAACATTTTCAAAAGTTGAGCCTGGGAGCTTAAATTCATAACTTTGCTGGCCACTAATCATGGTTTTAATAAGGACACTGTTATAATCTATAAATCCAATCTGTAACCCACTACCCCTCCCCTTTTTGTCCTATGGCTGCAGGAGTGTTAACAGGCCTTGAATGGCCCCTTAGAATATGTGCTATCTGTTCCACTTTGCATTTAGCTGTGACACTGGGAGTACCTTTCCCAAGCCTGAAGAAGAGCTCTGTGTGGTGCTCAAATGACTGTCTCGCTCACCAACAGAAATTGGTCCAATAAAAAATTACCTCATCCACCTTGTCACTCTAGGAAGCTCTCCATGTTAGGACTTCTTGCATCTTCAACTGAAGCATCTAGCACTGGCTGCTGTTCTAACTAGAACACCATGCTGGCTGGAACATTGGTTTGGTCTGGTCTGGTGTGAGGCGTCCTGTGTTTCTAGATTTTTAAAATAAGCCTTGTGCAGTTGGTCTTACCCCAGACTTAATCCATAAAAGCCCTCCTGATCTCAACTTGGAAGTCCTCTGAAGACTGAGATCAATCCTTGAAAGAAAATGTCAGTACATTTGTATCAAGATATACAGATCTATCATTAAAGCTCAAAAACAATAAGTATTCCATAATATCTGGAAGCTTCAGTTTTTCTAAGGCTGTGAACTGAACTTACCAAAGCAGACTGCTATTTGCTTGACTCGAGGAAACTTCCTCACTTCCCTTCTCCCTTTTTCAGCATCTAATTCTGCTCTTCCTTTAGCTATTGGCACGGTTTCCTGGCCTCACCTGTCCCCTGGAGACTGGGTCTCCAGGGTTGGCGATCAAAATGGAGATGGTCATCCAAGCAAAGATGCATCACTGACTCCATCCAAAAATTCCATAACTGTTCCCAGTGCTTCCTGAAACCTACAGTGCCAGGATGGATTCAATCTGAAGAAGTACTAATGGTCTGACACAGGAATACATTGAATTTCCTGAAACTTAATCATCACTCCAATTCACTAGGGCACCAGGAGTGGCATTCTGAAGTTGGCCCCTGAGGCGTCAAGGCCCCTGGATGCATCAAAGTGCTGAAACTTGTCCTAAGCACTGGCGCCAACCTGGCCAAAGAGTGCAAAGATGCCTGTTATATTAGCAATATTTGTCTAACGGTGTTGGGGAGCCTGATAAATCAAACTCTAAAAGAGAGATGGAAACTTAAAAAAATACTTCCCAGAAACCATACCAAGATGATAGGACTGAGACGCTTGAGCTACAAATGGAAACTTTAACTCTTAAGTAGATCAGATGCCTTCAAAGGACGACAACTACAGATATACAGTCTTCACCTTATGGTTTCCTTAAATCCTGTCCCTGCAGGTTTAGGTACCACACAAAGTACAGTATAAAGCAACAGAGGGTCCTGTGGCACCTTTAAGACTAACAGAAGTATTGGGAGCATAAGCTTTCGTGGGTAAGAACCTCACTTCTTCAGATGCAAGTCATCTGAAGAAGTGA